TGATTGAATCTAAATGATTGAAATCTGCATCACGGTCAGTCCAAAAAGACTAAGAGAGCAAAGGGTAGCACTGTACGCATCCTATCTAATGTCCAAAGCCTGGTGAAATCAGGAGAGAATAACCACATCCCTTGTGAAGAAGATGTTTAAATAAAATACTTCTACTGATCCTGGACAGATAGATATTTGAGCTCTCACCCTGTTGATCATTTGTAGCTGTTTAACTCTGGACTTGTTGGAGGTCTAATTCGTGAAGTTCATTGCTATGGCAACACACACACACACACACACACACACACACACACTATATGTCCCTGAGCTGTATGTTTTGCAAATCGTATACAACATATGTCTGCTCATGGGAAACAAGTAATGGCTTAAAAATCCAGAGCAAGTTTGCTTCAAACAAGGGTTATGCACCAAGTCTTCATGCCATTGATATTCTTTCCTCTCCCCTCTCCCCTTTCCCCTAGTCCCTGTCCACATTGGGTTTATATGTATGTGAGAGAAAGTATCTAACTTTTGCCATGTTGCTCAGACAGCTACAGCCAGTGGATTTCCGATTTCTTTTTTGTGGGACAGAGAAACTCCCATTCCAGCACGGGGAGCAGGCGCAGTCAGTGCCCGGATGGACTGATAACAGCCGCCCCGAAGATGGGTAGGGCTGTGTCTGTGGCAGGGAGCCACCAAGAAGGAAATGCCTCAAAGAGGTTAAACCCCAAATGCCTGCATGGCAGCCTATTTCTGTCAGCACCCCGGGCAGGGAATAAACACGGATGCTATCTGAAATGAGAGTGCATTTTGGAAGGCGAGCCGTCAGATGTTCTTTGCCCTTCACACTTCCACGTGCTTAGCCTTTTTGTAAGTTGACTGCAAAGTGCACCCGTTTGCCAGGCTCAGGGGGGGAAAAAAAGGGACTTGACAAGTGCCCATGGCATCACTGTTATCCTCCCAAGTTTCCAGGCGACGGAGGCTAGGGGCTTGGCACAGAACACACTTCCTGCGGGCCTGTGACTCCGGGGGTGCCTGCCTCTTTTACATCCTTCCCGGTGATGCGATTCCCAGCCATCTTCTGGTTTGCTGGGAGCTGGCTGTATAGATACACGATTTAACCGCGAGTCACAGACCAGAGCAAAATGCAAGCACAAGGCCCGAGATACACTCAGTGGCTCGGACCCCAGGGCGGAGATGAAGGGAGATCACAGTGGTCAGGGACACGCGTGGAAAGGGCTGTAGCCAGGGAAGCAAAGCATGCACCACGCACGGCTTCACTGTTATTTTTAAAGCTGTAACATGGCCGAGCATTTAAAACTATGACCTGTCACACACCAAGATTAAGATCCCGGGCTGCACAAAACATGAAGTGCACGACACAGCATCGAAGCATCTTTTATTCCCCTTGGGAAAGAGATGTCTCTCCAAAGAGAGCATTAAATGTTACAGATTGGGGGGTGGGGATCTCTAACCTCCAGCCAGCTAGCTGGCAAACAACAGGAAATGCTGGCCAATGCACAAACCAGGGGTTACCATTCTGGGGTGTGTGTGTGTGTGTGTGTGTGCGTGTGTGTGTGTGTCCCGATAAAGCAAACATGTTTTTACAAAATGCCTTAGTCACAGTTTATTAAAACATGTGTTTTTCATGTATTAATACATTGTGGTCAGTTATGCTTCTGTACTTGGCTTGGATCTACTGATAAAATGAGTATTGTATCCAGCTGTCTGTCTGTATGTAAAATACAGCCAACACTCCAGAGGGCAGGGGGAGAACTCTGTGCAGTGCAGATACAATCTCTGTTATGTGTTGAGTCTCCTTGGGGATCAGGTGAGCTGGTCCATCCCATAATAAGGCTGTTACCTGAGCATTAGGGTGGGGAGCCTGGGTGCCAGCTTCCAGCTGCAGAAGTGAGATCGGAAGGGGTTAATGGGTTGAGATCGAGCTATTCCTTGACCGAGAAGAGACGAGTCCACACTTGTGTTTATTCTGTGCAAAGTGCACACTACTGCTTTTGCCATCGTTTTGCAAACTTACCAACTTAACCCCTCCTTTAATGGGCTGAAATAGGCGTGGAGGTAGCAAGCAGCAAACTGGTCAAACCTTTCATGTCAGATCCATCTTCCCATTCTCCCTGACCAAGAAGAGAGAGAGAGAGATAACACGCCTTTCTTTGCTTTTCCCTTTTTTATTTCATTAAGAAGCAGAAGAGGGAAGGGGGAGGGCAGAGAGTTAGGTTATAGGAAGGATACACACACACACACACACACACACACACAGCCAATAATATAGAAGAGATAAATTGCTGAATCCGCCTTAAAAAATGAACTTTTATTGTTTTTTTTTTTCTTTGTTTTTTTCTTTTTTTCTTTCTTTCTGCTTAATTAAATCTCAGAGAAGCGTGTGCAGCCTGGTGACGGGGGAAATAGCGCGTTTGTACATCGCAGGGACAAAGGGGCCTGGGCAACTTTCAAGTTTCCCTGCACGTACCTGTCGATCGCGCGCCTTCTCCATCATCAGCACTAAATTCACATTGATGCCTCTTTTCTTCTCCGTATCGATCCCTCCATGAGAACGCAGATTTGTATCTGTTAATTAATGCGTCCTGAAACGGCGTTTGTATTAATCAGGCAGATAAGAAAAATTGGATGCCTGCGCCCTCCTGACAACCAGAACGGGGCCGGCCTGATAACATCGCGGAGGGACCTCAATAAAAAAGTTCCTCCTTCCACTCAATAAACTAATCATCCCGGCTTTTAATTATTCGGCAGAAAAGATGTGTGGAGATTGGGAAATGTGTAAATCTATTTACTAACAGCGGAGTGCGGGCGGGCGGGCGGGAGGGAGGGAGGGAGGGAGGGGACTGTCACGGGCAGGGCCTGCGGGCCACCAGCTCGGCCCATCTGCTGCCGCAGAAATTGGAGCTGAACAGGCTAAGGACCAGGCAAAGGGAAAAGGCCTTTTTGCTCACAGCTTCCTAGAGGACGTGTATTTTTTTCATCCATTTAACTTATGAAAAAAAGTCCCACGTGGTCCCCTTTTCTCGCGTTAGCTAGTTGGGTGTGCATAGCATCTTTGTTCTTGGTTGTGGGGGAATGGGGCCGAGAAAAAAAGAGTGATATTGTTTGTTTGTTTGTTTGTTTGTTTGTTTGTTTTAAGGATAACCTTCTGATTGAAAGCCAGTGGGGCCCAAACGACTTATCAGATCAGTTTTCCTCTTTTGAATGCCTGTTATCAGTTGTGATGGCTGATTTTAGGAGGCTGTTTAGTAATTTAGCCCACTTTGCAAAGACACACAAAAAGGAGAATGGGGGAAAGAAGACGGACCCAGCCAGGTCCACAGACAGATCTGTGAGTCCCGTGTCAGCAGCTTGCTTAACCAGGGAAAGAGAGTCTGTTCGCAGATGCCCACGGACCCCTTCAGTGCGGGCGCCTAATCCCTCTTGATGATTGTATTAAACACTCCTCGTTGATGGTGCCAAATGGCAAGCTACTGGTTATCAGCGACAGCCCAGGGGACCCTGACCTTTCTTCTCATTGTGCTGTCGCTGCTGACACCACATGGGACACAGGCAGTGTGATAGGAATAAAAAGGACGCCAACAATGACCAGAACAAGTGCCTAAGTAGGTTGGGTGGCACTGCATATATTTGATTTGGGTGACAGGGTCTGGAAGGGGAAGAAAAATAGGTTTTATAAGTGGCCTTGCCCCCCAAACTTCCCCTTCTCTAGAATTACTGGCGGAAGTTCCCTAAATCATGGTCCTCCGAGACCCCAGGAGGGGTTGGTTACCCTTGGAATTCCTTGGGCAGAACCTTGAAAATGAAAGTCAAGTTTAAAAAAAAAATAAACTTATTTAAAAAAGAGAGAGAGACAGTTATAAAAGTATTGGGCTGATTACTAGGTATATTCACTAAGACCTTACATATGTTTCAGCATTTTGATCTAGTCCCTCTAAGCTATAAATAAATCTCTTCATTTCTAAGTAGGATTAATTATACTACTTAATTTTCCCTATTGAGCCCCATTTCTTATATATATTTATGCAAGCTCAAAAGCGACTGAAAGCATTCGTAGAGTTTCAGTAAAGAATTGGAAACAGTCATGCTGGTGTTTCAGATAAAACTATTATAATATAATATCTGATGTAGCTACACTTATCGAATGCATATTACAAGTTAGTGCTTTGTTGGATGGTTTTTATACTTTCCAGTAAAAATTTAAGGTACAAGTAAATTGTCATTCTCAAGATGAAAGAGCCAGTAAATAGCTCAGTGGAGCAAATATTTAAATTCTGATCTGGTTCTGCTCATGTCCTCTGCACAAAACCCCACTGCCCTCATATTCAACTTTTAAAATAACTGGGTCTTAATCCCTAAAACAAACTTGCTTTTCTGTTTGGAGGAGGCCAGGACGCTAAATACTCCACTCCCTTTTGTACCAATAATCACTTTTTAGAAGGAATCCATGTTAAATATTGATGGGAACAATGGCAAAGTTTCTTGTGAGTATAAGCATCCTAATTGCCCACTGTGCTTATACTATTATAAAGAAATGTTTCCAAATTGTATGACCTAAATTACTTGCTTTCCTTCCTTTCTTTCTTTGGCTTATTTAAGAAAGAAACTTTTATTCTGTTTATCAATAGCAGTTTCTAGACCTGAGGATGTTGAAAATCTGACTTCCTATGAGCCATTAAGAACTCTGCCAGAAAACCAAGCGTATTTAATGATCACATCGCATTTTCTTCTCAAGTGAAAGATCCAGAACTTTCTGTTGTTTCTCTTTCAGCCAGGCTATGAAAGCTCAAGAAAACACCACTGTGTGGGAGCAGATTGGTGACTTTTACTTTGCCATTCGCTCACTGATCAGGGGAGGATGTAAGAGCATCTAATGGCAACTCAGCACAATTCCCAGCCCTAATGCAGAGGCCGCCCCCAAGGAAACGAATGCGTCCTTATGAAATGATGGCTGTAGAGTAACCTGGTCTGCTCCTCTCCCCATGCAGGCTTCTCCACTCTGTCCCTGGCCGACCAGATGAGCCTCCTGCAGAGTGCTTGGATGGAGATTTTGATCCTCGGTGTGGTATACCGATCTCTCTCGTTTGAGGATGAACTTGTCTATGCAGACGATTACATAATGGACGAAGACCAGTCCAAGCTAGCAGGCCTGCTCGACCTAAATAACGCCATCCTGCAGCTGGTGAAGAAGTACAAGAGCATGAAGCTGGAGAAAGAGGAGTTCGTCACCCTCAAAGCGATAGCTCTCGCTAATTCAGGTTGGCATCTGGAGGGGTCCTCGTTACATTTTTTTTTTTTTCTTTTTCATGTGTCGGTTTTTTCCTTTCCCTCAGCTTCTTCTGAGAGCCGCTGGGCCCGGCTGTAAATACTGGGTGAATCAGCAAAGTTAGAATCATTGCAGTTTTCTGGTGAGAAGTTATAGAGAAGAAAAATCAAGGTGATGGGAATTATTTTTATTATGCAGGAACTATTTTTATTATATGTCCCCCACAGTGTATGCACACTTCAACAGCTGACAGCTCCCTTTTGAAAATGACATGTTTTATTAATAAACACGGCCTTTATCATTATGCCCAGTGGATGTATACATTTGGGGGGAGGGGCAACATTTGCCTATGGCAAGCTGTGGGGTTTTTGCCACCTCACACAGTTACTAATTTATAGTGTGTGTGTGGACATTCCCAGGACAGAATTAGTTCCAGTTGTCTTGTGTGCATTACAAATACACACAAACCATGTTTCCTCTAAAAAAAAAACAAAAAAAAAAAAAAACGCACATTTTGCAATTGGAAAAAAAACGTATCTTTGGTATTGTTTTTAATGCTGGTTATCCAAGGACCTTCTGTTTTCTCACCTTCTGGAATTCTCTAAAAGTCAAATTGGGTTGCAGGCCTGGTCCCCTCAAAGGCACTGCCTATGTAGTGAGGGTGAAGCATGTTGGGGATAAACAGTCTTTACATTTATACTGAAAGTTACTAAGAGAGGCAGCCACCTCTGGCAGGTAAAAAAAAATAAAAAAATAAAAAAATCATTGGCGCTTTGTCGGTTCCCCCCCTGTGTCTCTCTGAACCCTTTCTTGTGGTCTTAAGCCTGCTTCCTCATTTGCATAGAGCGCAGGCTAGATCCCTCCTTAATGACGGGCCGATCATTAGATACCTGCGCGTCGATAGCATGCCGGCCGCTCGGCCCCATTGACAGTCACTCGGTGCCCCTCCATCTGCTTTTGTTCTGACCCTATCTTTGAACTTTATCTTGGTTGCCGGCCAGTAGTTTTCCCTTTAATTACAAGGAGGAAACTGTCAATAAAATCTGTTAAATGGGATGCAGCGAGTGGCTTGAATGGGCGGACGGCTATTTGTTCAAATTCTGCAGCTTTCAAGGTATTGACAGTTTGCTTTCTGGGGCCATATGTGACGATCAATCTCAGGCTGGGCTCAGCCGCGCTGAAAAATGAAAAACCAGATTGCTTTTGCTTAGTTGGGGATGACGGAGGGGTGATTTGGCGCGGTCCTAGGGAGATGAGCCCGTCTGCCCAGATTGCCCCCGAGAGAGCCGGGGGACGCGTGACTGTGTTTGGAAATAATTTTTTAATTGATTTTGTCATTAACAGTTCATCTACAATATCGATGCACAGATCCTGGGATGGATAGGAGGGGCATTGTTTTCAGCGATGAAGTTGTACTTTCCGATCGGTCTTGATAATGGAGTTTAGCGTTTTGCTCTTTTAGTTGTTCACCATTCTCTTCTCCCGTTTCTCTGGGAAACTGTACGCTGGACATTAGGGCTCATTATGACAAATGGCGTTGCTCTTGCAAAATCAAGGGCTCCTGGTCCTGCCCTCTGGAGAGCCCAAGTGGGAAACAGGGACAGCAATTTTCTGAGAATTTATTAATTGGCAGAGACTTCCTTTTATAGCCCTGCTCATAATCAGATGACAGATTTGTGAATTTTTTTTTATTTGGTAACCTCATAGTAATTCAAATTTAAACATTTCCCTGAATAAGTAACTATAAAGGGCAGCAAGCCTGTTTTGTTTCCTTTATGCTTCAAATTGCTTCTTTTTAAATAACTAAAACATGAATGCTGAGCAATGCTAACATTTTGTCATCAAAGTGGCTGAAATGTTTATAATGTTAGAAGTTGGAGGCATAGGGTATGGCTATGGATTATAGGTTGAGTGCCTGAATGGATGGCATTTCTGTCTCTGTTGTTGATAAGTATAATCCTTAATATTTTTATAGATAAATATTCGAATCCCACCCACTCTTCCCTGAGGGAGAGGAATTGCCCTCTTTCAGAGCAGGGACTAGTTATTGGGATATTTAGAGAGCTAGTTAGTTTGTTTTTCTTGCTTAAAGCCAGATATAATTAACAAGACACCCCCCCCAATTCTGCCCTTCTTATATTACTGACTAGCACTGCTTTTTCTAAGAAAACTTCTCCATGTCACAAAATGTTCCTGTGTTACTTTAACAGTCTTTGAGCCCCTCAATACTCAGAGAAATGAGCCAGCATCCTAATAAAGGAGAAATTATTATAAGGACCATTTTGGTTCCTAAGTTTGCCACCTCTCCTGTGTTGTATAAATGTGGCCTTTTTCTTCTCCTCTGACTAAAATAAAAAAGGGATAAATGATGCAGAAAAGTCATTTTCTTTGATACCGTATATGATGTCATTCATCCCTTTTTTATTATATTTTTTACCATTATGGGGAAGGCAGTGATGTGATCTTGCTGAGATCCAGTGATTCTTAAACTGCTCTGAAATACGTCAGTATGAAAATATTTTAACACTATTCCTAGATACCCCGAAAAACTCACAGGTTTCCTTTTTTAGTATTTAGAAATTTCAGATCAGCTTAAGTGACTTTTTGTGCCAAAGGAAAAAAAAAAAATCTATTCCAGTGTCACTTAATTTATAGGTATCTTAGCATTCCCCGTGTGGCTGTAGGTGTTAACAAGCATTGTCTCATTAATCTAAATTTCAGCTTATTTTAAACATCTGTCTTTATTCAATAATTATAAATGTTGTGCTTATGCTTGGGAAACAGGGAATTGGCTTCCTGTTAATGACTGTCATATTTTTTGTAGCGATGTTTCTGTCATGTGTGAATTTAGGAATATTTAGACCACCAGAGCACCAGTAGTATAGTACCTATTATCAGGTGTGTGACAGAAAGAACAAAGGAACAATGTGTCACAAACAAATACTATAATTCTCCCATTCAAATATTTGGAAACCCTATATCACTGTTCCAATTAATTTTGAAGGTTAAAAAAAATAACCAACACTCGCTTAAAATATGCATTGTCTTATTTGTGAGCAACTATCATGATCACATCCCTGATATATGGCTCTGAGGTGGAATTTTAAAAGTACAACTGGAGTCGCCATTTTAACATTGTAATTAATAGGCCCAATTTTCTCATGTGTAGAATTCTTTTTCCTATGCAGATCTCTGCAATTAATTGTATGTTGTTAGTGGAAAATGCAATGAAATATTACTACAAGCCTTTTGGGCAAGGTCATATCATGGGGATCTATTCTTGAGATTATCCTAGTGTTTATATCTTAAGAATTTGTTTGAAACTATTGCCACCGCCCCCAAGGTAATATGCTCATTTTTATCTGGCTTCGCCATAGAATCACCTAGATTTTAACAAATACAGATGTCCTGATTCAGCCTCAATTTTCTGATTTAATAAGTCTGGGTTTGGGCCCAAGAATATTAATTGTGTGTGTGTGTGTGTGTGATCAATTTAACCATTGTTTTTAAACTATAGCCTCACCCAGCATAGTTAGTTCATAAACCTATGATTTTCATTGTTAAGTTTTAGCTGGTTCCCATTAGCATGAATATTGGGGCTATTTCTGTTAAAAACATAAAGTTAAAAAGAGACCGTCACCAGCAACCAGAGCTAAATAATTCCATAAATAAAGGCGTTTCTATTGGGCCTGGCACGCGTGTATAAATTTAGCAGAAAGAACAGAACGGAGATGAAAGCCACAGAGCCAGAACTTGAACTGGGATCTCTAATGGAGATTAATATTTTCTTCAGCAGCCTGCCAGCTGAATCATGGTCTAATTAAATAGTTCAGATTTAGTGAGTTTGCATTTAAAGTATTAGCAGATCCGAGAACGGGCAAAGCTAAAATGACTTAGAATCTTTTTCTGTAAATGGGAAGTTAAATTATCATAGTAATTTGATTAAATCATTTCTAAATCTCACATGCTAAATCACAGCCTTTAAAGAATAGTTTGAAGTCTTAATTGCTGTTTGTGAGCATAGCTCTCTGCTATTTGTTCTCGCCTGATTTCCTGTGACATCCTATAATATATCTCCTGCTGGGCCCCAGAAGTGGGGAAGGCTGGGCTTGGGGTGGGCTCAGAGGTGACTGTGCCCCTGACTTCAAGCATATAAAAACCTGCCATGTAGAAGGACATGCATGTACCCTGTATTGCCCCAGTAGCTGGGACCAGGACCAACTACTGGTCATTGCAGACAGATGAGGGGCAATATGAAGAAGACATTTCTAAATATTAGCTTGGTTCCTTATCCAGTGAAATGCTCTACATATATTGAACTGTCTCTGTGCAAATGTGGTATAGAGGTTCCTGATGAAAATGGGAGGTTGAATGAGACAGGTTCAGGAAAATTTCAACTCTTATTATGAAAATATACATATTTTTTATGGATTTCAGAGAGAAAGGAAGAGGGAGAGAGATAGAAAAATCGATGAGAGGGAATCATTGATGGGTTGCTTCCTGCATGCCCCCTTCTGGGGTTCCAGCCCATACCATGGGCATGTGCCCTGACCAGGAATCGAACTGTGACCTCCTGGTTCATAGGTTGAGGGTCAACCACTGAGCCACACCAGCCAGGGCAGAGAACAACTTGAATTCCGTTCCAGGGCACCACATGAACATTTGTAAGAGAGGAGAATTCCTTCTTTGAGCTCCTTCAGGCAGGAATCAAGTCTTGAGCAGTAAATACATATAAACAACTGTATTCCAGATTATTCAAAACTCTTTCAAAGAAATGTGTCATTTACCACCTAATATAAATAGTTCCCCAAATATAGTGTGAAATTATTCAAAATAACCATGTAAAAGAAAAAAAAACACAAAAAAAATTTAAAACCATACTACTGCTTACAATAGCAGTTAATCTATTAATTACTATGCCATAATTTTTATATGTTTAGCCACTTGATTTTAAATTACATTTTTCTCTCTTTTTGTGCATGTGATCTGATATTTGAATTATATGAAAGATTAGGCTAACTACATATAGCTGAGAACTCTATCTTCTTAGAGAAGCAAAATTATTAAACATTCAGAATTCCCCCCAAAGACCCCATTATGTATAATTAACAGATAAACTGTCATCAGAATCAATAAAACATGCTAAATGATTCAAACTTGTATATAATTAAGTGTCTCTTTTAGAGCTGTAACTTTTATACCTCCCTCCCCGCCCCAATCTGACATTTCTCCCAAGAATTATCATGGCAACCCTGTTAACCCTTTCCTTTCTTGATAGGATTAATTTTTTAAATTAAATTTCAGAACTCATTAATCTAAAGGCATTATTTGTATCTCAGCAGAGAAGCAGATGATAAGGATCTCTTAAGGCACCATGAACAGTAACTGAAAATTCTACCACCGGACACAGATCCAGGGTATATGATGGAGTTTTTAAAAATATCCATCCTCAGCGTGTTTCTTGCCTTTTGGGATATGTGAGCTTTTTCAGGGCAAGGTCAGGATTTTTAACAGCTTCACCAATATGGCAACGAAATAATACTTTCCCTAGATGGCCTTCCGTGATTATTGAGTGAATGAATGCATACGTGAATGAGGTAATGAATAACCTAGTCATGGTCATAATCTGCTAAAAGAAAGGTTTCTCTTGCTTCTTCTTAAGAAAAAAAAATGAAAAAAAACAACAAAAAACCCACCCTTTCAGTAATGAATATTTTATAATAATTCTCATGTTTTATATATATATATATATATATATATATATATATATATATATATATATATTTGTGTTGATTTCAGAGAGGAAGGGAGAGGGAGAGAGAGAGAAACATGGATGAGGAGAATCATTGATTGGCTGTCTTATGCACTTGCCCTACTGGGGATTGAGCCCCTAACCTAGTCATGTGCCTTTGACCGGATTCTAACCTGGGAAGGACCCTGTATCTATCCACTGAGCAAACCAGCTAGGGTTAATTCCCATGTTCTTATGAAGCACTGAAAATTATCAACTCTAGGGAAATGTATAGCCCCCCCCAAGAAAGGCCCTTTGGAAAGGGGAGCCGCTGCATTTAGAGGTTTCCCAGCCTGGGGGAGTGGAAGGATAACCTTTCACTTGCAGGACTCTGCTGCGCCCAGGCTTCTCACGATCACTAACAGCCGTGTCTGTCCTTTGCTCTGTCGCGCAGACTCCATGCACATAGAGGACGTGGAGGCCGTGCAGAAGCTCCAGGATGTCCTGCACGAGGCGCTGCAGGACTATGAGGCCGGCCAGCACGTGGAGGACCCGCGCAGGGCCGGCAAGATGCTGATGACGCTGCCGCTGCTCAGGCAGACCTCCACCAAGGCCGTGCAGCACTTCTACAACATCAAACTGGAAGGCAAGGTGCCCATGCACAAACTCTTTTTGGAAATGCTGGAGGCCAAGGTCTGACTAACGGCCTCCTGGGCCGCCGTCTCCTCCTCCTGCACGCCCGCCGAGAAAGGGAAAATAAACCCAAGCGTAATGTGGAAGAAACGTAGAGCTTAGTCAACGCCATCACCATCCCCAATCAGCAAAGACTGCACTGATCACTTAGCAGCAAGACTAGGAAGCAGCTTTCAGATTTCCCCTTTTTTTTCTTCTCATTTCTCTTCCTCTTTCTCCCCCCTTCCCTCTCTTATTCCTCCTTTCATTTCTTGGTTACTGGTTCCTTCTCTCTCTCTCTCTCTCTCTCTCTCTCTCTCTCTCTCTCTCTCTTTCTCTCTCTCTCTCTCTCTCTCTCACCTTCCTTCCTTCCTTCCTTCCTTTCTTCCTTCCTTCCTTCCTCCTCCCTCCCTCCATTCCTTTTCTGTCCTTTCTCTTCTCATCCTTCTCCTTCTAAATTTAAATAGCTCTAGTAGTAAGTTTTTATTTCCTTCCTTTTCCTCCCTTCCTTATTCCCTCCCTCCCCCCTCTCTCCCTATCTGCTGCTGAACTTTGAAAAGAGGTCTCTCATTGAAGAGTGGTGGAAGCCAGCCCTGCCAAAGGAAGGAAATCCATAGTATGGATGCCAGTGAACTTGATTGTGAACCGCAACGTCCCCCGTGACTGAGGAATCAAAGAGAAAGTACCAAGGTAGCTCAAGTACAGTGCGACAGGATCGACTGAGGGCAGTATCAGATTCCACGGAGCAGCCCCTCATCAGACAACTTAAGCGACTTTGCGTCGGCTGCTTCTCACCATCGCTTTTCCATCTACATCAGTTACAGCCATTTGATTCCTGAATTGTTTTCTCAAAGTCTTCCAGGTATTTGTTAGTTTAGCTACTAAGTAACTTTTTCAGGGAATAGTTTAAGCTTTATTCATTCACGCAATACTAAAGAGAAATTAAGAATACTGCAATTTTGTGCTGGTGTCGAACAATGACGGACAATAATGAAGGACACATGAATCCTGAATGAAGGTTTTTTTTAAGAAAAACGTTTTGTTTCTTCTTACAAAATGGAGATTTTTTTTTGTACCAGCTTTACCACTTCTCAGCCATTTATTAATATGGGAATTTAACCTACTCAAGCAATAGTTGAAGGGAAGGTGCATATTCTCACGGATGCAATTTATGTTGTGTGCCCGTCTGGTCCCAAACATCAAGTTCTCAAGGCGAGCTCCAGGTTCCCTAAATGTTCTCTGACGCGAAGGAATGAGATTACACCTGCAGTGGCTCTGGGTGGTCACCTGTCATCTCTGCGCCCGAACTCCAGATCCGTAGCATTTTCAGAAGCGCACTTCTCCACCTGGGAGGTGCCAACGCCATAAGATTTCTAAATGCTGTGGTGGTTAAGGATGTACTACTGCCTATCTGCAGAGTTACAGACCTTGTCCCAGAAGGAGCTTTGAGCCTGTCTTCATTCAAGAGGCAATAATGCTAGAGTTGGAAGAACAACAACAATAACAAAAAAAAAAAAACGTCAAAGATGACGGATGCCTGACCAAATTCTTAAACCTCTTGATATGAGCTGATTCACTTAGGAATGTGGTTTTTAACCAAGAGCTAAGCCAATACAGCTGCTTCTCAACCAGCGTTGTCCCAGGCAGAAAGTCAGTCAGGTTCCTGATGGTGGAGAGGTGTAATCTAATGAAGGAATCAATTAGATGCCCCCAAAACCTACAGTCGCCGAATACCCAAGAAACAGTAACCTCCATCAGATGCTATCCAACGGACCAGTGTTAGTAGCTGCTCCCTGTACCATGTGAACAGTCTTCTTCTATGTACACAGATGTAATTAAAATTGTAACCCTAACAAACAAGAAGAGGTGTAGTTCAGCTTTTCAATGTTTCATGTTTGCTGTGCTTTCTCGGAGTTTTATGTTGCATTCAAAGACTGTCTGTCTTGTTCTTCTTGTGGTGTTTGGATTCTCGTGGTGTGTGCTTTTAGACACAGGGTAGAATTAGAGACAATATTGGATGTACAATTCCTCAGGAGACTTCCGTAGTATATTCTATTCCTTACCCATAATAAGGTTCTTCCTAATAAGAATTAAGAGATTGAAACTCCAAACAAGTACTCCTTATGAACAGATCCACATCAAAAATCATAATATTTTCAAAACAAGGGATAATTTCTCTAATGGTTTATTATAGAATACCAATGTATAGCTTAGAAATAAAACTTTGAATATTTCAAGAATATAGATAAGTCTAATTTTTAAATGCTGTATATATATGGCTTTCACTCACTCATCTCTCCCACGATGTTGTTATTAACTCGCTCTGTGTTGTTGCAAAACTTTTTTGGTGCGAATACGTTTCCAAAACTCTTGCTACTTTGTGTGCTTTAAACAAAATACCTTGGGTTGATGGTTCGTCAACCTCATGCTAGAAATACTGTGTATCTATCATTAGCTATATGGGACTATATTGTAGATTGTGGTTTCTCAGTAGAGAAGTGATTGTAGTATGACTCTAGATAAATCATCATTAGCAATTCATTCAGATGGTCAATAACTTGAAATTTATAGCTGTGATAGGAGTTCAGAAATTGGCACATCCCTTGAAAAATAACAACAGAACAATCCAACTCCTGGGAAAATAAAAAGGTGCTGATTCTATAAGATTATTTATATATGTAAGTGTTTAAAAAAAGATTATTTTCCAGAAAGTCTGTGCGGGGTTTAAGTTGCTACTTACTATTCAACCACACTATATATAAATGAAATATATACAAGATATACATTGCTTTTACTGTATCACATTCAAGTACTTGGGCTTCAGAAGTAAGAGCCAACCAACTGAAAACAGGAGATGGAGATATGTGGAAAGAAGAGAGGACGATTTTAAGTTTTCAGTTTAAGTGAAACATGTACCCAATAACCAGGAAATACAACGAACAATACAGATTTAGAAGTTCTGCATGGGCTTCAGGGCAAATACCCCGCTTAATACCTCGCTTGAGGTAAGTCTTTTCGAGTTTCAGGCAAGACCATTTACTTAATGTGAAGTTTTGGGAAGTTATAAAGGTGTATGTTTTAGCTCTATGATTTTTAATTTTGATTTTTGTTTTCCAGTTGGTTCTTATTTAAAGCAATATGATTGTGTGACTACCTGCTGTTACTCTTGTGTTTCAATCAGCTCAGATTGTTGTATTTATTCCACTATTTTGCATTTAAATGATAACATAAAAGATATAAAAAATTTAAAACTGCTATTTTTCTTATAGAAGAGAAAATGGGTGTTGGTGATTGTATTTTAATTATTTAAGCGTCTCTGTTTACCTGCCTAGGAAAACATTTTATGGCAGTCTTATGTGCAAAGATCGTAAAAGGACAAAAAAAAAATTTAAACTGCTTATAATAATCCAGGAGTTGCATTATAGCCAATAGTAAAAAGAATAATAATAATGATAATAATAATAATAAAACCATGTCTATAGCTGTAGATGGACCTCACATCTGTAAAGCAATCAATTGTATATTTTTGTGATGTGTACCATACCGTGTGCTCCAACCGATGTCCATTTGTGTAAATGTATTTATTTTATATTGTATATATTGTTAAATGCAAAAAGGAGATATGATTCTGTAACTCCAATCAGTTCAGATGTGTAACTCAAATTATTATGCCTTTCGGGATGATGGTAGAGCAATATTAAACAAGCTTCCACTTTTGATTGCTCTTCCGCCTGGTGTTTCTTTATTTCCCTCCACACGAAAGAACCAAATCAATAAACATTGCCCTTTGTTGCTTCCATCCAAAGAGTGGCTCCGAGGACCTGTTTCCTAAAAATAAAGCAGGCGTTTAAATAAGAGCTATATAAAGGCTTGTCAGAGTGAATCCGAGGGCGCGGAGAGACATTTTGCATATTTAAGAGTATGCAAAGCGTCCCGTGGCACATTAGAATTCATTCTGACAAGCCTTTATATAGCTCTTACTTAATCTCCAAGCATCTCCACATCATGCCGCATTACTCAAAATCATCGCCTCCATGTCACTGTCACAACAGAAAACTTTCCCCCCCTATTTTAAGATCACATTAAAAACCAGAGACACCTATTATTTCCCTCCATCCACAATTAAATCATGTTTTTGCAGGGAGCTCGTCAGCCAGCTGCAAGCTTTCTGGAGCAGCCAGGGAGTTGCCCACCGGATTTCCTGGATGAGGGATCCACAGAGTTGGTAGATCGGTGAGCGTGGGGCAGGGAGCTGCCAGAATCTAAAGCCAGAGGGGTGAGCGGCAATGCTGACAGCCAGCGGCCTCCCCTGGCCTGGTTCACCCGGAGGTCTCGGCCCTCGCAGCCTGGGTAAGCTGGGCACCCGCTGGACCCTCTGCAGCCTTCACACAAGTGCTAATGTGCGAGTTCTTGTTGTCTCTGCCATCTCCTGAGTGTTTTGTCAGGCGTCTGCTCACTGAGCTGCTCGCCTTTCAGTGGTGGCTAGATCTCAGGGCAAGGTTTTGGGGCATGAGATTTACCTAAATCCCCAAGATGCAGGAACTAGCAACAAAACTCTTTTCTCCCCCTCTTCCCCCCTCAAGTTCATGTCTGTGAGTTGCAATGGCTCAGCATAGTATCTGACAGTGTTTGGGGTGTGTTTACCAAGTATTTGGGGGGAACTGAGACTATGTGAGATACAAACCTAAAAGGAAATAGCCTGTAATCTTCCAGGGGTGTCCTCATTTAAAAATACACAGTGTCCCCCAAAATGTACACACACCTTAGCATATGACAGCCCCACTGATGTTTCTTTCTCTTCAGGTTTGACCCATTGGGATGAATAATGTATTAATTACATTAATTACATTACATTAAATACATTAATAATGTATTCAAAGTGGGTAGACAGTTTGGGGACACCCTGACTATAATGCTACCTGTGTTTTAAGAACTTAAATGTCAGAATCTTCTTGCTGACTTGTTACAATTTTTATCATTTAGGATGATGACAGAGTGACTTCTCAGGGACTGCCCTGTTGGGCAGGGATACCTGTGGTGTAAAAAAAAATAATAACAAAATTGGTGTTTGGCATTTTATCAGGTTGTATTTCTGAATATAGAGACAGTGAGTAACTCTGACCAATGGGTTCTGTTGTTTGTGTCACAGGGATCGCTGTTATTTGCACTTGTTTTTTATAAGTGATTTTATTCTTTAAAGTAGTGGTTTCCAAATGAGGCTGCGTATTGGAATCACCAGGAGAGTGCTACCACAGACTGGGGTTCAATTGGTCTGAGATGTAGCCTGGCCTCTGGAATAATGAAAACCCCAAATCTCCAGGTGATTCTAACGTGAAGAAGAGGGAACCACTGCTTTATATTTTATACATTTTTCAACTCATCCATGAACGTCCTAAATTAAAAAAGAATTCATACATTGGCTCTGAATTTTTCTGAGGGTTTTAGACTATTTAAAAAAAATATATATATAAAATATATATATATATATATATATATATATATATATATAGATATATATATATATATATATATAGAGAGAGAGAGAGAGAGAGAGACAGAGAGACAGAGAGAGAGAGAGAGAGAGAGAGAGAGAGAGAGAGAGAGAGAGAGACAGAGAGAGAGACAGAGAGAGAGAGACAGAGAGAGACAGAGAGACAAGGACTTAACCTCTTACCTCACAAATCCAAAGGCAATGCAATACGCCTGGATTGTTTTGACCTTCACACTCCTCATCCTCCCATTCCTCCTTTCTCTCCATGGCTGATGCCCAGGCCTGAACTCTGCTTATGCCCCATTGAAAAATAGACACACCTGCTCAAAAACTTGTGGAAAATATGTCACAACCTTTTTAAAAAAAACTTTTACTGCTATCCTTTGGTCCTTTCATATGCTTTAACATGAATTTAGGTGTGGTTCAAAATGCCATTTTCCCCCCCTACTATAAAAAACAAAAAGAGCAACAAAATTGATTTCCTGGAATGACTTACCTTACACATATTTTCCAAGGTGCTGATGTAGGAGAGGTAGAGAGGAGACAGAATGGAGACAGCCTACTTCATTCTCGGGCCCGTGTCAAAACTTCAGGTACACTTTCTTAAATGTGAAATTTAATTTGTGACTCATCTAGAAAAGACAAGATGGGTTTTTGTTTCATCCACAGTGGTTTAACGTACTGAATGGATAGTTCCGGAGTCCTGTCGATAGAGAAGGATTTAAATCAGTGTCCCCAACCCTTTCAAATCTCTCAGTCTAGCCTCATGCTCTAGGGTCGCATGGAGAAAAACAGAACAAAACGAAGCAAGCAACAGTAGATTGATTGCACGCTACACCTTATTATGAAACAAAATGGAAAAGAAAGGAATTTCAAAATATAATCCCCCTTCCCCAGCAGTATTTGTCTTGTTCTCCATGAAGTTAAAGGTCTGAAATAATGTGCCCATCAGGGGCTCAATGTTGCATGTCCATCCCAGTTGGTCCAGGGGCTTGTTATGATGGTAATGACCTCCTGAAACGTGAGCTTGGGCTGTAGCAATGCAATTGCTACCAGCTCACCTGCTGGGAGAAATATTTTATTATTGTCAAATATCCTCCGCAGAGATTTGTTTTGCCTGTTCCTGTTTAAATTAAATTCAAAGCAGAACTGCATTAGTATTTCTCTGGAGTATATTTGAGATAAACAACTAGCCTCAAAAGTTAGGATTCCTGGCTAGTTCAAATTTGTTTATTAGCAGAAAAATTATAATAGGTGACACCATCGCTGCAGGAATATGATGACTGCAGCCACACAAGAGATTTACATACTGAGTCCATGGCCTAAACTCCCTTTTTCATTACAGATGCCAGCCAGATTAATAATTAACTATTGCAGCCACTGTATAGACTTAGAAAAGGAAGGATGACCCAATATACGAATGCAATGCCATAGCATGCCACAGAAATTCGGCCATGAGAAAACCTGTGTCAAAAAATAAGTGTTTTTTAGACTTAACACATTGGACACTAGTTTTATTGCCAGCTTTACCCAGTGGCCAGATAAGTTTCTGTTGAAGGAGTACAAAAATACATTTTACAAAGTATCATATTTTCAAAAGAGATTAGCTTGCAAGAACATGCAATAAATAACTTCAACATGCAATGGCTGTTTCATTTTAAGGCATGCTTTTAACATCTATGTAAAAACAATGTGTAATATGAAAACACGAGAATGCTCCTGATCAGTCTGCAATGTGTTAAGATTGTAAATGTAAGACTGTCTGTGTGCATAAAAATATTTTTAGCCAGCGACGTGGGAGCCCAAAACATGAATGTCAAGGCTCTTTATGCGCACAATATACTTTTCCAATATTATTTTTTTAAAAGAATCTCAATGAATGTCCTAGGCCAGATGGAATTATTCAGATCATTTTGCTGGAGGCCCTGTACCACCGCTTTGACAGAAGACTCCAAAAATGTGATGCTTACGTCAATCCAAATTTTGTTGCTGACACTGAAATGAGAATTGGACCTTATTCCCTCCCCCACCCCCAAAATGCCTGTGACCTTGGTGAAAATCATGGTGGCCTGCAGGCTTCGTCATGGACGACTTTGAAGACATGGTTTTAGGAAATGGCAAACAAACTAACTATTGGGAGGGGGTCCCAAAAGGGATTCCAGGGGAAACATTGCAGATTAAGCAGGAGCATTCAATCATTCTATTCACACCCCGATTCGATCTGCCAGGCACAGGGAAATGGCACAGTTCTGTTGGGAAGCGAAGAACTGGCTGCTTTTTAAAAATAATAATAATAAAGGGGGGTGAGGGGCTCAGGAAACCCAGCTCAGAAGAGCATTTTCAAAACGCTGTCTAGAGCTGCGCAAGGACTGGCTTTCTCCCCTTTTCAGTGTGTGAGTGCGGATTTTCACACACGAAGAGCGCTGCCCCTTTGTGTCTGAAAAGACCCCGCAGGCGCTTTTGTATTAACCGCCCTGAAATTCGTTATCTCCCACTAAAGTTTAATTTGCCTTTGATCTTCCTTTATTGCAGAGGATGAGCTGAGCAGGCCCAAAGTATCCACTTTATGTTAATAAATCAAAACAGATATATAGCTAATATTGTCAAGTGTATGTATGGGGGAGGGGGTAGAATCCCTTTCTCCTCACAAACAAATACAGCAGCGGGCAGAAAGAAGGTTTACAGTTGTTTGTATGAAAAGTAATACACTAATAATACAAGAGTGAACTTGCATTAAGTCACAGCTGTGAACTTACTTTGCCCACCCCTGTATATTCTTGAGAGTAATTTTTGGACTGGCTTACAGGATAATGATGTTTAGAAATGATGTTTAGCCCTGACCTGTTTGGCTCAGTGGATAGAGCATCGGCTTGCAGATTGAAGGGTCCCAGGTTCGATCCTGGTCAAGGGCATGTACCTTGGTTGCGGGCACATCCCCAGTAGGGGATATACAGGAAGCAGCTGATTGATGTTTCTCTCTCATCTATGTTTCTAACTCTCTCTTCTCCCTTCCTCTCTGTAAAAAGAATCAATAAAACATATTAAAAAAAATAAAGAAATGACATTTAGATATGACACTCAGGATATTTGGTGGCACCTGACTTTCTTGTTCTAGTTTCCTAGGATTTGGTGGTGCTGGAAGAGTCTGGGGACCATGATATATGACAGATACATGGACAGAGGTGTCCTGGGTGGACACTGAGTCAGTTATATGGCGTTCAAACCC